AGGCAACACTATGCTTTCAAGGACCGTTGGTCGTGTTTAGCAGGGTGGGCCTCTACTTGTCCCAACTGCATCATCCATACGCAACCCTGGTCTTGCAATTGTTCAATCCTTTCACCACAAAATAACAGTACCCGAAATAGACCTCAGAAACGAACATTGGCTTTGACTGACCCATTATAGGAAACTAGTTTGAGAGTAGTGTGAGGTGGTGCGAGATAGGATTTGGTCAGGTTGCCCTCTTTCCAAACCCAAAACAAAAAGAGGCAAAGTGCCCCAAAGCTTTGTTCTGTGAGGAATGTTTTGGGACAAAACTCCAAACAAGGTGAACTATAATTTATTAAATTAGCATGGGGTAGGGATCAATGACTGAATTGTGGGCCACGAGTCTGTGTTTCCGTCATTGCCCGACTCCTACAAACCCCAACTACACCGTTTGGAGGGTGTACTGAGCCTACTGGAAGTCAACTGTGGATTTGTTTCCCATTCGCAGGGTCATCCTTTTGGCCTTACTCGTGGTCTGCCTGGGAGGGACGTGGACACTTGAGCAGCCGGGAAATTCGTTTCTCGAGTTCTTTCCTACGTGGCAGTGGTTTGTCAACATGCTATCGTCAGTCGCCGGTGGTGCTGAGACAGTGTTTAGGCTGCATATTTCACATCAATTGAGTGGGTGGCTTTCTTTGCTGGAACCACCACCCCCGAAGCATGGCCAAGGTGCAAATCATGCTCCGACCAACGTAGGTTCTGTAGAGGCCTTTGCTCTGTCAGTGGGGGGCAACGTGCGCCCTTATATTCATATGCCCTTCCACCAAATCGTCAATTTAGGTGAGGTTCAACCTGGGCTGACCTTCATGGAAATGTTATCTTCCAATTCTATTTCTGATTGGGGCCCTCAAAGAGTTGGGTTAGTGTTGCCACCCTTCGAAAAGCAAACTTGATGTTGGGGACTCTCAACAGTTTGGGCCATCCTGTCCTGTTGGAATAGCTGAGGTTTGGAAAGGCCAGTGGTATATGTACCACTATTCTGGACCTACTCCGAAGAAACACTACGCCTTTGCTAACTCTCCGCACATAGGCCGTTTGTGGCGTGGACGCCTTGTGGGTTGGACCAAGAAACCTAAAGAGGAGAGGGAACGCAAGAGCACGACAATCCGCTATGTAGACAAACAAGGGCGTGCAAGATGGAAAGGGTCTCCATTGCTTAGAAGTTCGGAGTGTCTTGTCGTGTGAAACACATTTTGTTTATAAGGTCGTGCAACAGGTCACCCAAGGACTTGGGTGACCCTATTGTTGGTTGAGTGAGGTCCCAAGGGCCCCCCGCTACCACGGATTTTGTTACAAAACCTTGGAACATGTTTGGTTGAACGCATGTTGCCACCTAAGGGAATACCCTATACCATTTGGCTTAAAAATGGTGGAGCTCTTCGATGACCTGGTTCATGACAACCGTGGTATGCCAGAGTTGCCTGACCCCTTGCCTAGCGCGCTTGCTACCTTTGACTCGGTGGCTTTTGATGATGATGACAAGTCTTTGTGGGGGATGGCTGAAATGAAGGCCGTTTGTAGGTACCTCCGGGGTGGGAAGAATCTACAGATTCCCGATTCCTTCCGCCTTTGCCTTCCTGAAAGGATGTAGATCGTATAAGCTTGCCAAAATGAGACCTGGCACATGGGTTTACCGCAGAATAGCACTGAGCCAGGATGACCATGATCGAGATCAAATCAGTTTTTACATGAAATTAACATTAATTTGGGCAAAATTTGGCGTAAAAAGCGTAATTTACCTGTAATTTTTACAAAAAAACAGGTTTTATGTGTACTCTATTTGAGCGTAATGAACACAATATTTACCAGGTAAATCAATAGTTACCTGGTAAATAAAAACCTGGTAAAAAAAACGTAAACGTAAAACAGCCGTAAAATACCCGTAAAATGCCGTAAAATACCCGTAAAATTTTACAGGTAAATTTAACTTATCCAAGCTTGGTCTCAGATGGGTTTTATACGGATTATGATAAAACATGTTGAATCTAACCTACTTTTTGGCAAGCTTGTAAATTGGAGATGTGGTGTCACCACAAGCCGAGCGCACCTTAAAGGGGTTGACCTGCTGCCCCCAAGCAACATACTTGAATGATCTAATATATGCTGTTTTGGTGTTTTGGGAAGTATACAGTGAGAAAGAACACTATATATTTTTCATGGCGGGCTTCAATCTGAGTAGCTGTTTGCAGAAATGGCAAGTCTAGTATGGAGTGGTCAAGAATAATATTTGAGTGCTGGACCTTCATATTGTTGAATGGACCTTCATATTGTTGAACTCTTGGGGGCTGGATCGATTGGGAACCTTCTTGGTGTTGTGAACTGGCCTAATTACTGCACCAAACCTGTGAAAGCTGACTCCTCCTCTACAACACGAATGGAAACCACTGAAAGATCTGAAAGGGTCTCCTAGAATCAACGTGTGCGTTGAGCCTTGGGGTTCACAGCAGGGACCCACAATTTGAAATAATTGGCCTTGGCCGTCTGCTTGTCATTTGCAAGATGCTGGCAAGATGCATGCCCTTGATCTGACACGAAGTCACTAGCATTGCCTCAGCCCCGTGCTGAACAAACCCAGACCTTTCTGTGAGTGTGCGTGTGTGATGTAATGTCAATAATTGCGCAATAAGGATGCTCCTCTACAAGCACGAAAGCTGGTATAGGTTGAATGTGATTATAGTCTTAATATGTCTTAATTCATGCACGGCGAATGATTTTCACTTGACTGCCGTAGCAAGTTGGCTTGCCCTAAGTGACACCTGGTGCAACTTCCAGAGAAACTCTTGACTATCAGCCCTCAATGCAAACCCTCCCATCCAAGACTTGGAGTACTTCGGAGCTCGGAGAGGGAATTGCCCAGTTGCTGAATCAAGATCTTCCCACTGACCTTCCTTCTTTGCAGGCAGGATCATAGTCCTGGGTGGCACATGGAATTTACAAATAACTGTTATGTTTCAATGTTTCAACATACTTAATTCTCAGCGACAGGAGATGGAGAAGAAATTAGCAGACATGATGGCCCAACAGTCTGCAGTTCTCTTGGTGTGAAAATATATGGAACGTGTACGCAAGCGATGTTCTTTCCATGTTCCCTTTACGATCATTCCTACAGGTTTGACTTTGGTACCTTCGCATGTGCTTAGGCTGAAGCTCGTGAGGCACTGGAAGAGGAGGTCCTACGCAAAGACATCGAACGCACAACAGTAACTTGATTGTAGTGGTAGGATTTTTTGGGCAACATGGGTGACCATAAATTCTATTCGCATGTCTGCTCCCAGGACCCAATGCCACGTGAGATGGACAGCCGCGGATCTTTCTCCGTGCCCAAAGCTGTGGAGGTGGTTGAAGTGCCGGAGAGTTTGCCGGACACACAAATCGATGACCAGTTTGATGTTCCGCTCCATGTTTGCATACAAGTCTTTTTCTAGCAGTGCTGTGCCTTTCAAGCTGTTCTTGACAGGTTGGGCCGGGTGGGACTAGTATATAGGCTGTACTCACCAAATCTCACCAAGGATCCAATCCATGCATTGGCGGATGCCCTGTCCAATGGGAAGCTGTCGCCAGGGGCCGTCATGAAGCTCGTTCAGCCTCATATGAAGACAGGTTCAGCCGCGACCGTGCCCCCCACCAGACTCGATGACCAAGCGACCTTTGTCCCCGAAAGCTGCCACCCCTCCTGCTGAGAAGAGGCAAAAAAGCGACGGGGACAAGGACCCTGCACCCCGTAGTATATAAGAAACACCACTTCAATTGAATACCATGCGTTGTATTTGTCACCAACTTTCTCTAATTGCTCTCTTGAGCCTCTCAAAATCTAAGGCAGCTCCAGGATCTGGTACGCTTAGCGGATCCCAGGAGGACCAGAAGCTGCTTTTGGAGCAGCAACACCGTGAGAGGGAAAAACGTCGAAACCGTCTGAAGGCCAAGTTGCGACGTCAATGTGAAATGAAGAAAGGGAAAAACGGAAAACTCAAGTTGTTGGTCCCAGACTTTGTGCATGAGATGTGGAAGAACGGAAACAAAGATGAACTTGCGGAGACCTTTGCCGAATGCGGATTCGATACAGTTTCTTGACATGCAAGTAGTACCCTTGGTGCACTCATGACTGAACTGGACCAAAGGACATTCACAGCCAAGCAACACATGGATATGGATACCTTTGCGCGGCAGCCAGTCAGCACAGTCATCGCGCGCCATTGCTGAGGAAAAGTTCATCAACTGTTGCAAGAAGATTCAGACCAAGAAGGACTCCAGAAAGACTTTGGTCACTGATGGATGGTTTACTAAGGAGGATATGGCCAAGAAGTTGCAGTGGGGACAGAATTTTGTCTGCACTGCAAATTCAATGGTACTACCTTCTCAAAGCCACCCTGTAGTGATGTTTCTATACTCACTCCTGGCGCCGTGGTCCGGCTGAGGAAGCGCATTGATGGAGCCATTCGGCTCTGCATGCAAAATCCAACCAAGTTGGTCAGGCAACTCTTATGTGCGCATGTGCATATAGTCTATGTGCTCGTGTCAATGGTTATAGTTTGCACATGCTAGCATTGAACCTCCCTTCCTGCAGGAAGAACAAATACAGCGGTGAGGATGAGTACAATGTGGAGACCGGAGAGACAGGGTCCCGTGAACAAGAACTGACCATGGAGGAACGAGTTGAAACAAATGGAGAGGTGGGGTTTTCGTTGATTTTTCTCGGAAGATCAAAGAACATCTTGGATTTTCCAAAACTGTCAGGCACCATCGTCGGAGTTACCAAATGTCCAAACGGAGTTGTTGGACCGCTTTGATGAACGAGCCCGTGCACGAGAGAGTGAAAACTCTAATGCGATGTCGGAGGCCAGGCTTATATAACATTAAAACTTGCAAGAATGTTTTCTGCTACGTTAACTCTTTTATGTATGGGCTGAATTTCCAATCGGTTGAAGGCCATCCAGTCGAAGGAAACCCTCGGCAAGTTCATGGAGAGCGTTTTGCAGAAGTCCTGCAAAATCAGATCCCTTGTCTCGGACCTACAGCGGAACTACATTTGCGACACTGCGCGCAAGACCCACCCTTATTCTTCTCATGGTTTGCTATGTGAAATTTGTCAGTTGCTTTCCATGAAATGCTCAAGACGTCAAAACACATTTAAAAACACACACACAATGTTCCAGGAGTGCGGAGTGCTTGAAATCTGATTTGGGAGACTTGGACAAGCTGTACACCGAGCTCACCGATACTTTGGCCAATGGTGAAGCAGAAGACTTCCCCCCAAAGCTACTTGGCCTAAGCAATTTTACGAGTCTGAGTTGAAGCGTGCTTTCTTGGTGTCACTGAGTCACTGCGTAAAAATTGTTTTTTTTCAATGGATTCCGGTTGCAGGTGGCGTACTGACTCTGCCGCACAAATGAAGAAGGCGACCTTTTTGTGCCTCGTCAATCTGTGTCAGCAACAGAAACAAACTGCAATGGTTCCTGATTCTTAGTACTGTCCGGGGTAAGGTGCAGCAAAGTGGCTCAGAACGAAGTCAAGATCCGGAATCTTTGTTTGAGCTGATGATACGATCGAAACATTTGAGTTTTGAGGCTACTACTATTTCAAAACTTGTGAACATTTACATCTCAGGAATGCGAAGCGGCACTTTGAGAAAGTGAAGAAGGAGGAGAAGGAAAACTGATGTCGGGCAACCTTTTTCAGCTAGTTTTGACCAGTCTTGGGGTTCAGTAGATTGTGCGAACACAATCTCTTCGGCATAGTCGAGGGTGTTTGTGACAACCTTTTGTGTTTTTTTGTCTTTCAAGAAATGATAAACACTTGTTGCAAGCCAGTGATTTGTAGGTAGCCTGCCGGCTTTGCCGTTCAATCATAGTTTCCATTTTGATATGGAGCACGTGTGTTGGGGAAGGTGCCAACATACAGCTACGAGCGCAAGGACAGAGTCGTGGAAAACAACATAACAACAATTAATTATGGCAACAACACAGTGCACATGCAGGAGAATGTGTGGGTGCCATGCAAAGTTGAAGCTAACCAGCAACCTTCAAATTCCCCTTCAACTGTAGTATGTTATTAGCCAGGTCCGGGACCTACTGCGAGGGCTTTTGCCGCCAATATTGGAGAGGGTGCTCGGGGCCCAGTTTACTCTTCTAATGGTTTAGTTGGCCTTGGCTTTGCCAAACTCAGCTGACCCATTTTGGTGAAAACAAAATTTCATGTAGCACTGCCAGCTTTCAGTTGGATGCGAAGACTTGTTTGTTTTGAGAGTGTCCAAGGTACACCGGCTGTTGATTCATGTTTAATAAAACATGTGCTTACTCAATCGGTCTTTTAAAGGTTTGTGTTCAAGACAACTTTTTGAAGTGTGTTCTTGCTGCTGTGATGCACCGGGGGCATTCATATCCAACTGATATCGGATAGAACGTACTTACTATATTAATGTCTGTTACCATCTTGACACTACATAGGTACCATACGCGTGCACTGGAATGCTGTTGTTGAGACATATTGAAGTTGCCTGTATACTAAATTCAAAACATACCAGCCAATCAAATGCAAGTGAGTACCAGTGAGGTGCAAAAGAAACTACTCGACTGTGCCTTCACAGCTAGTCACTCTTTGCCCGTGAAGGGGAGGGCTTCTTTGCGAGAGAAGTGATCCTCATGTCCCTAGTTTTGTAGTTTTTGAAGGCCTTCACTCAGCCCTCTAACCTTGTATGTTCCCTCCCAATGTCAACATGGCCGTATGGTGACATACACTCCCTTTTTGGGTGGTTCCTCAGTGACACGCACAACAGCTACATGCTGAACACATATACGCTTCGAACTAGGCTTTGTGTGTTTGCCAGGTTTGTCTGAGAACTTAGCGGCGTGCTGTTTACATAGTACAGTAATCTAAAATATGTTTGACCGTCAAGATACCAAACATCCCTCAGGGTTCCTCCCTCGCGCAGGACCACGACAAGTAACTCCATCGTTACATTTGTTGCGCACAAGCTGTTGAACATTTGCTGTGCAATCGGAATATAGGAATTTCACAGACACGCGTGCACATGTGCATTGCAAACATGCCCTGGTTGTGGACTTACTGGTGTGCTGCCGCTGGGTTCGCTGAGGCCAGCTGCCGGTCACAGATCCGCACAGCCAAGGCTGTTGTTGAAGAGATGGGACCTGCGAAAGCAAGTGAGGGTGGCCTTTTGGAATGGGCTGCCATCCATGAGTGCAACAGTGAACGCGACGCTCAGAAGGTTGTTGCCAAGCAAGGTACCATCTTGAAGGTGCCTATTAGTTCTTTGGCGATTCAGGGTGAGAACATATCATGGATATGTCCCAAGGATTGGATCCAGTACATTGTAGATTCTGGACAATGGTGCCACCTTGCAGGCTTGAAGTTTGAAGAAAGACATGAGGCACCAAACATGTGGCGCCAATTCTGGGACAAGTGGGAAGTCCTGCACCCTCACTTTGGATTCTTTGAGCGGTCCCCATGCCGTCGTGACCAAACTGCAGCAATGTGGATCCACGGGGACGAGGGAAGGACCCTCAAGCGCAGTGCATTGATGGTCACAAGTATCCAAAGTGCTTTGGGAGCTGGATTTCGGTCTGAGCGTGTTTTGCCAATGAAGCACAAGCATGATGGATCCTTGATTCAGAACATTAACTATGAAGGTCTTTCATTCTGCACACGCTTCGTGAGCAGTGTGTTGCCCAAGCGCCTCTATGAAAGCAACAGCACCTTTTTCGATGATGTGATGGAGGCCACAGCTTCGAGCCTTTCCGACTTGCTGGAACATGGAGTTCAAGACAGAGATGGAAACCGGTACTACGTGTGCATCCTAGGCATCAAGGGCGACCTACCTTATCTGAACAAGGTAGGTCACCTGCAAAGGAACTTCATGACTGGCAACAAAAATGGGAAGGAACAAGCAAATCCGAAAGGCATTTGCTATAAATGTCTTGCTGGAATTCCGGGCTTCGAATACGAGAACCTAGCCTGCATGGAGGCTCCTTGGCGCAGGACCATCGGTCTGGAAGTTCCATGGGACAGACCGTGTGCTTTCATTTCCAAGCTGGTGCACGATCAAAGCGACCCAAGTACATACTTTTTCTCGGACATCTGGCACAACATGCACTTGGGAGCAGGGAAGGCATGGGTAGCCTCTACAGTCCTTTTGGCGCTCAAAGATCTTGATGTTTTCTGCAGGAATTTGCCGGCAAAGTGGGACTGGCTTACAAACGACTACTTGACGTTTTGCAGTTCAACTAGGGTTCAGCCGCACGTCCGGACGCTGACGCCGGTAATGATGGGGCTGTATGAAACTGGTGGTCCTATCGGAGCTTGGTCCAAGGGGGGCTATGACCACAGCATTGATGAAGTGGCTGCCACACATGCTGAGCAAGCTGAGCCCTCAGCCTGGGAGTGACCTGGAGAAGGCCATGATAGCATCAACCAGCATAAACAGGTTCTTCAGTATCTTGTACTCTTCGCCTTTTTTTGTTGCAAAGGACGTTGCCCTGCTTGTTTTCAGACTTGGCACAAAGTGGTTGCTGGCATACAAGCAGCTTGCCGCGTCCAGCTATGCAAATGGCAGAGTTCTTTACCCCCTGACTCCGAAGTTACACGAGATAGATCATGCAATTACAAAGGTCCTTCATGATGCTGAGAACCATGGCTACGCTGTCAACCCAGTTGCGTGGGCATGCCAGCAGGATGAAGATCTGGTGGGTCGCGCATCGCGGCTGTCCAGACGTGTGTCCAGCAGGCAAGTCATTCATAGGTGTTTACAACGGTACCTGATACAAGTGCATACGACATGGAAGTGCGCAGGTTTGATTCGGTGATTGCATTCGGGCATGGGAAAGGAAAATGACCGCGGGAATGGGGGAATGGGAGTGTGCAGCACGCTTTTATATTCTAACATTGAGGTGACATCAAGACTTGATCACACTCATGATATAGAAATACCTGGTTTTTTAAAATACCTGGTTTTTCTTGGAAAACCTGGTTTTTATTGCTAACCTAAAAAAAAGCAGGTTAATGATTCTGCAGGTATATATATATATATATAGGTGCATGCAGGGTGGGTGGACCCGAGGATGTTTTGGGGTCATGGATGGTGATTGGGGTAATAGATGGATGCAGGTGATGACACAGGATTTAGTCCAATTTGACCGGATGGGATGGGTTGGGAGAGTTGACTGTAAAGCCCGCAACTTGGGATCTACATCTTGGGGCGGCTTGAAGAATTTGCGGGTGTGGTAAGCAACAACAGTAACACATCGGAGGAGTGCCCTGACACAAGCAGAGAACCAGGCAACTTAATGGTGACCAGTGGTTTGGTCCGGACATCCAGACTAGACCACACATATGTGAGGACCGAGCGGTGCCCTTTTATAGATCGAGCAGCGATGTGTCTTCAACACGTTCTACATGACATGACTTGGAATTTATGGTGCTTGTAAGGCGCCACGGACCTGTCATCGAGTTCATTGAGGGGTTCAGGGCTCAGGTGCCAAGACAAACACTAGGCCAACCAAAACTAATTTTTGGGGGTCAGTATAAGCTGCCGACATACCGCGGAATTCTCCTACCTACATGTGTCAGCTTGTCAGCACATCGCCTCAGTTCGTTCGGGCGAGCCCACAGATCGTGCGAGCCACATGGACGACTCAGGAGGTTGCCAAAGACGACACACTGGACGACCTGTTTCCGGATGGCTTGGCCTAGAGAGATTTTCAATTCAGTGGCCTAATAGGCCCAGTTGACCTGTGCCCTGTAGACAGCTTGCATCCATCTGCGTTGCTGCGATATCCATGGGGTCCATGTCCAGAAGCAACGAAAACAAAACATGCACGACACTTACAGATCACCTAAGTTCGCGCTTTTGGAACTACTCTGGTAACACTGGACTCCCATGGTCCTAGATTCCAGGGCTCTACTTGCCAAAAGACAAACAGCTGCCAAAAGACAAGGCGTTGCCTCGTTCCATGCCGCGTTCGGAGATTTATTGGGCCCAGTGGATCCAGTTACCATCAGTTACCATGGTATTCCCTAGGGCTCCAACCATATTCTCCTCAGGTAGTTGGACCCCCCCCTCGCACCCACCCCATCTTTGAAACGAAGGTAGCCCAGGAGCCCAAACACAGAAAGTCGGATTTCAGGAGCCAAAAATACGGAGCCCCCAAACGGGCCCAACGGGATGATTCCGTCACCAAGTGGTCCCGAACGTTCTCTGCTCAAAGAGCGGAACGAGCCGCGGAACGCGGTCGACCTTTTTGGTGCCAGACATGCCATTCACACTTCAGTTCAGGGAAACTAGGCAGATGTTTTTTTGTGGGAGCTAGACAGGTGGAGTCTGGGTTCAAAAGGATTTTTGTGGGCCTTCCAGCCAGTTTTGAGCTGAGTGGCCTTTCATCCAGCCAAGAAGATCAGCACCCTTCAGCAGCATTGACGGTGGTTCCAGTGCTCCCAGCTTCAGATTCCAATCCGGAAAGGTGTCCGGGGTCTTCGTTGTCTTATTGGGGTTCCAGTGCTCCAAACAGTCCTGGATTTTGAAGGCGCTCGGTTCCAGTGCTCCAAACAGTCCTGGATTTTGAAGGCGCTCCGATCATGGTTTTTTTGGGGTTCCGGTCGTACTTCAGAAGGTATTGGGACCATTTTGGGCCCTCTAACATGAAAGGC